AAGCCCTATTTGAAACTGACCGTGGGAAGTCACAAGGGAACACCAAGGGGAACTTCTTTTGTTAAGAGAGCACTGTCTTCTAAACTACATCACTTTGATAAATCAAAGAAGTTCTTCTTCCTAATCATAACTCGAGCAGTCACTGACTGCGCTTCTGTGCTGCCTGCCAGGCTTGATTCTAACCCACTGGTGTTAATAGCTTTTCCTAGTGGCCCCATGAGGAGGGACGGCAGGGGTCAGCTGCCCATTCACCAAACCTCTTTGTGCTTCCTTCCAAGCACACAGCTAGCTCATATTTCCTAGCCCCCCTGCAATTAGGTGTGGCCTTGTGGCTGAATTCTGCTCAATGCACAATGGGTGAAAGTGACAGGTAATGCCCTGGGACTTTCTCCACCTCTCACCCTTTCTTGGAGACTATGGGAGTCAAGTGGGGCCACAAGACAGATTGAGCCTGACTTCCTGCATCAGTACTGGAGATGTCTTCCTTGGGCTTTACCAGAGCGAGAGATAAACTCCTGCTGTGTTAATCCACTGAGACTTGGGGATACTTTGTTACAATGGCTAGCATTGTCTTATAGCTAGCTATTACCCCCTTTTAATGACTGTACAACACATATTCTTTCCACCCTTGGACATTTCTGAAATTATTAGGCTGGATCTTAATTCTTCCCAGTGCCTTACACTTGCTATTGGCCTAGACTGAGGTCTAAGTCCAAGAGAAAAGATTTGCATTTGTTTCTTCCACTACCTTGGGCCACTAAAAACTCGAGTTCTCTTTATTTTTCTTTAAAAAATTTTAAAAAAGTTTGCATTGGGGCATATAACTGATTTACAATGCCGCATTAGTTTCAGATGCACAGCAAAGTGAATCTGTTACACAAATACATGTATCCACTCTTTTCAAGGTTCTTTTCCCATATAGGCTATAGCAGAGTGTTGAGTAGATGGATTTCTCTTTAAATGAAGCTCTCTGTTTCAGGTCTTCTGGACTATACCAGGTAGTGTCAATGCAAACTGCAGACCCTCTTGAAGACCAGCTCATGGTTCAAACTCTCATGAGAGAGTTTTTTCCCTTCTTTATCTGGTGCTGCAGTTGAAACAAGCAAGTTTGTTTGCCACTCTTTCTATGGGACGGGTTTATTTCTCATGTATTCACACGTGGAGGGTGTGATGGTTAACTTTACAGGTCAGCTTAACTGGGCTCAGCAGTGTCCAGACAGCTGGTAGAACATTCTTTCTGGGCATGTCTGTGAGGATATCTCTGGAAGAGATTAGCATCTGAATAGGTAGATTGAGTAGTAAAGAACATCACTTTCACCAGTATGGGTATGCACCATCTGATCTATTGAGGGTCTAAATAGAACAAAAAGGCAGAGGAAGGGCAAATTAGCTCTCTCTGCTGGAGCTGGGACAGCCATCTCCTGCCCTTGGACAAGGCTACCCTTCGTTCTTAGGTGTTCAGGCTCAGACCAGGACTTCCTCTCCGCCTGCTCCCCCAGCACTCTCAGGTGTTAGGACTTGCACTAAACTGCCTCGCTGATCTTCCCGGGTATCCGCTTACAAACAGCACATCATGGGACTTCTCAGTTTCCATAAACACGTGTGACAGTTCCACAAGCAAAACAAATCTCTCTACATATCCTGTTTCTCTGTAGAACCCTAATACAGAAAAGTTGACCCTTGATGTTCTGGCTTTATTTGGGGAGCTCCCATTGAACACCTCACCTGTGTGAGGTGTGTGGCATGTAACTTTTTTTTTCTTTTTAGTGGCATGTAAATAATGTTGCATCTCATATTCAGTTTGTATCTTATATTCAATGAAATACAGTATCACCTCCAGTTTATAGATGGAAAATGAAAATATCTGAGGCACAGACAGAGCAAGGAATTCTCTAGTTAACGTCAGGGTGCAGTGTGGACCTAAGGGTCTTAACCGCCATGCCACTGCAGCGGTTGCCCGATGACCGCACTTGGCCACCAAATAGAGGACAGGTAGTGTGCCGGCTCCGGGCTGGAACCAGCTCCGCCATCATCAGGGGTTTGAATTTTGACATGATTCTCAGCTTCAGGTCCCTCATCTGCATCCTAGAGATAGAAAGACATTGATTAATCTATAAGATTGCAATGAAGATTAAGTGGGGCTACAGTGTAAAGCATTTCATATACTGCTAGACACATAGAACCTACTTAGCGATGGTTAGGTATGGTTATTATTGTTTTATCCACTATCCTATACTGTTTCCTGGTAGTAAAATATGGAGCATTTATTTGGCCCCTTCCACGTTCACGCCATGCGTTCTCATGTCAGTGTATGATAGAGTCACTATTGTCCTCGTGTCACAGACGAGACACTGGGCTCAGAGATGCCCAGGGACCCGCCTGGCTTACACAGATGGCCCGCGGCACAGCCAGGGTTCAGACTCAGGCCTGCCTGAGTCCAGGGGGTGCACCCTTTCCTCTCTGCCCTGCCTCGCTTGGTGCAACTTGCTTCCAGGATGTAATATTTTACAGAATGAAAGAGCCTGGGGATGACTCTAGGCCTGGAGGAAGACTTGTCCCTGAATCATCAGAACTGCTCCTCCTTTAAACACAAAATCTCTCTGGACCTGGTTGGTTAGCCAATGGCCCTTGCTGTGGGGAAAGGGCAGCTGGCCTAAACCAGCTCAGGACAGACTCTAGTCCAGTGTGGACTGTGTTCTGTCGGGGGATCATTCCAGTGACCCAGTGACTTAGATCATAAGGACTCTCTGGGCTGTGCCAGTCAGAGGAGGCTTCCCGGAGGAGGGGGCACTCCAGCAGCCTTGAAGGGCAGGTGGAAACGGGGACGGAGGCACTTGGGGCAGGACTCCAGTGTCAGCAGAGGGATAAAGGGAAGGACGTGCATTGGGGGCTGGGGTGCTTTGGGAGACGGTCTTGGGGATCTAGAGGCAGTTCCATCTGAGTCACCCCCAGTGGTACTCAGGAGCTCGAGGGCTTGCTGCTCCAGTCAGTTCCTGGAGCTCAGAGGCCGGAGGATGGGAGGGTATCGGAGCAGCCTCAGCGCCCTGCAGGTCAGACCATCCCAGCCCCAGCCAGTCCTGCTCACAAACCTTTGGCCCCAGGTAGGGGTTCCGGCTGTTGCTCCTGCCTCGAGATCCTGCCTCACTTTCTGTAGTTCTTCCTGCACCGGACCCAAGGCCTCACACCTAGAATCCACTTCTGTCCTGCTCAGGGCTACTGGCTGCCTTGGCATAAGACCGGCTTTGCCCTGCATGTGGGAAGTGCTCTTTGGGTAGGAGTCAGGACATCCAACGGAAGGGAGCAGTGTTGGCACATGCCACCGAAGCACTTGCAGGCTCGGCCGGCTCCGGGGATGGGAGTGATGGTGTTGGGACTCGCTGCCTCCGTCTGTGGGCTCTCCTCTCCTCTCTGCTGGCTTCCCATCCATGTGGTGTATACTGGGAGTTGCAGCCTTGAGAACTCCTGGAGACTGTTAGAGATTGCAGTTAAGAGAAGTTTTCTGTCCCGAGGGTAAGTGCCTAACCTCTGAGTGCTGGTGGCCAGGGGATGACCACCGGGCCTTGACGACTTGTCTGGGACACGTGCCCGCCCCAGGGCATGAGGGAGAGGAGGCTCCCAGAGGAAACTGGGGCTTTTTCCAGAGGACAGAAAGGCAGGAGCAGGGAAGATGGCAGGGGCTAGCAGCCCTCATATGCTCTGCCCACAGTGCTTGCACTCCAGGCTCAGGCTCACCTGGGGCTGCATGGTAGGTGCTGGTGGTGGTTTAGTCGCTGAGTCGTGTCCAGGTCTTATGACCCCAAGGACTGTAGCCCTCCAGGCTTCTCAGTCCATGGAATTTTCCAGACAAACATACTGGAGTGGGTAGCCATTTCCTTCTCCAGGGGATCCTCCTGACCCAAGGACTGAAGCTGCATCTCCTGCATTGCAGATGGTGCCCTGCATTGCAAGCAGATTCTTTATTTACCACTGGGCCACCAGGGAAGCCCAGGCAGGAGGGAAGAATGAATGGGGGTGAGTACTCAGCTCTGAGGGTGCTTGCTCTGCTGATGGTGCCCCCTGTGGGTGTTGGAGGTGCACTGTCCCTGGGGACCTGAGTCCTGGGAATGCCAGCTAGCTTGCCTGAGGCCTCCTGGGTTGGATCTGTAGCCTTGCCGGTCCATCGCAGAAAGCAAGTCTGAGCTTCTAGGGAAGCCTCCCAACACATGGGGCTGGCATCTAATCTGCGGACAAAGCTGGCTCAGGTGGATGATGTTCCTGTGACCACGTGGCAGCTGCCTTGCATCTGCAGGTGTGGGTGAGGAGCCCAGGACACCCTGGGGAATTGCTTTTGGGCAGCTTTCTGAGTGAGCACTTGATTTATGTACTCAAAGATGTCCTACATGCCAAAGGTTGCTGCAATGTTACAAACAAAATGTTTATCCCAATGCAGTGTTTCTCCTCTGCTCACCATCAAAATGCTGAGTGAAAGGTGAAATTTATTTTTTGTCTCAATTTTCAAATCCTGGCCTTTCCAGTCGGTGGGCAACCAGGTCTTGCAGTGCTGAGATGAAAACGATTCTTGACACTAGGAGCAAGCATTCAGGTTCAAGCACAGGGCAGGCGAGTCCTGGAGGAATCAGGGCATGGGCACGCTATGCGACATGGCAGGTAGGAGGCGGGAGGGCAGTCACAGGCCCTCTTTTCAAGTCAGAAAGGCCCCGGGGGTCCAGCTCACCACGCTGCTCTGGGGGTGGAGGTGGGTGCTGAGAGGCCACCTGACGAGAAGCCGCGTCTCTGGGTGGATGAGAGCACTGAGACGCTGCCCTCCTCCTTAACGCCTCCGAGGGTCACCAGGGGCCACTCCTCAGCCGGGATCTGAAGGCCAGAGGGGCAAGCCACGTGCAAGGACGGAGCGCTGTGTGCAGCAAGACCCCACTGGGAAACGGGGCGGTGTGTCCGAAGACGGCTCAGGCCCCTGGGGGTGTGGGAGGGTAGCGCGGCAGGGTCAGGTCACACAGGCCATGTGGGCTCAGGGGTTCATGCGAGACGGGAAGCAGGGAAATGCGGGTGAGGGAGTGAAGCACAGAGTGACATGCTCTGGCTTGCATTTTAAAGAGAAGACTGGCTGCTGCTGTGAGAGTGCGTGGCGAGGAGCCAGTGCGGGAGGAGGCGGCCTCGTGGGCAGCAGGCCTGGGAGGAGGCGGGAAGCGCAGAGGCAGGACAGGGTCTGGGGACTCAAGGTCTACCCTGATCTATTTTGGGGGTTGAATTCACAGGACATATGGATGGTTTATATTTGGGGCTGAGCAAAGGGGAGCTACTAAGAAGGAACCGCTCCTAAATTTGTGATTTGGATCCTTTGACTCAGATGTGGGAGACAGGAGTCTCTTGAGCGATGTCATTACATGATGTCGAATAAGGAGCTGAGTACAGCCATGTAGCAGGATCTCTCAGGACAGCTGTGCTGGGGTCCCTGTCTGAGCTGTGGGTACAGATGCATCTAAACCTGTGAGAAAGCAATAAGGCCAGGACCTGTCCTGAGGAAACATCAGCGTTGAGAGGTGGGCTGGGTGAGGAGAAACTCACAAAGCGGCATGAGAGAGGAGGGGGAATAAGAGAAGGAGGCATCATGGAAGTTGAGAGCAGGCTGGACTATGGGTTAGTGCTGCTCAGAGATGGAGGAATATGAAAGTTAGCATTGGCCTTGGAAATAAAGAGGCTGCGGTGGTGTGAGTGGTGCAGAGTAGCCCAGATTGGAGCAACCGAAGATGGAATGTGAGTTGGGGAAACCAAGCAACCTCTGCAGACCACTCTACTCTGGGCACATTACTTGCCAGTTTCCTCTCAGCTGGGCAGAGCCATGTGACTAGTTTTGGTCAGAATTGTGAGCAAAGGAGCATGTGCCATTCACGGGCTGGGGCAGTGGAAACCCCTGGACTGCAGTCCTAAGTCCCCCTTCCATTCTGGAGGCCCCTAAAGGTTACCCTTCCAGATGAAGCAGCTGCAAGATGATGGAGGCTCCACAAGCCTGCGGCCTGACTGACTGTACGAGCGGAGCTGCCTTTCCTGAAACTGAGAGGGGCACAGAGTTGCCTCTGTCTCCCTGGCACTTATGTCTCCGTGGCTTTAGCAACTAGGAAGCTGCCCACAGACGGTGTGACTCCGTGATTCTTCCCCCTGGCCTCTCTCTCGCTCTACCAGGTATGGCAGGAGGAAGGGGAAGCACAAAACAACTGCACTCTTCTCTCTTTATGGTCCTGGTGTTCACAATGCTGTGTTTCTTCCAGACCGTCCTCATCCATCGGCAGCCAGACATCTCTAGAATCAAATATCTTCCAAGCCCTCCCAGCAACAGACCCTCCACGGAGGGAGCGGGTGCTGTGGCTCCGTCATGGAGATGGCCATCCATCAGGTGACTGAGAGGCTGTTATTAATAATGGGTGGGAAAATATCTACTTGGCTGCTCTGTCATTGTTATTGCCTTTAACTATTACTTAAAGAAGAAACATAGTCAATACGCTTAATCTATGGTTTTCTCTGAACATTTTGGTAACAATTCATTTTAAGTAGTAGGCAATATCCAAGGCCTGGTTACAATAAATCTGCAGCAATACAGCTCGCTCTCTGATCTGATGCACTAAATAGAAATGCACATATTCCTTTTTTTAACTTCTTTGCAAACATGCAGAAGGGTTACAGCAGGAGGCCCTTCTGCCTGTTTCACTTCAACACCAGGCCAAGGCTGTCCCATATTTTGGGATTAAGTAAAATCTTAAGTAGGATTTATCAGTAAAATGGAAGGCTGTGTGCCCTTCTGATCACAGTCACTTAGGCTCTGTTAGCGGCCAGAGCCTAAATACCTCTGGTTCTTGCTGCTGAACCAGCACCTCTTCCTCATTACTCACAGTTTTGACTGCTTGACTTGTTCAGAGTTGTCTTTAGGGCACTAGCCGTTCTCAGAGGCAGCCTTGAATCATGCAGTCACTCTGGAGCGCTCCCCGAGGTTGCTGATCCCCTCTCCGGTCCTGAGTAGGAGATGCCTGCTGACTGAGATCAGCCCCAGGACTGGGATCTGAGCTTCTCGTTTAAGTGGGTTAACTGTCATCCTGCTGTCTTTGTTAAGCTATCAACTTTCTTAGGAAATCCTTTTAAAATGCAAAACACAGAAGCAAACTGCAGTCTAGTTTTGGTAGAGTTCTCACACATTTTGGTCTTATAGACTTCATCTGTATTTAGGTATTCAAGAAGTCACTTTATCTTTTAGGGGAGCCCTGCCAAGTCATTCTCTTTTTTTTGATTCAGCAAATTTTGAGTGATTGGGATGTGCATTTTTGAGTGAATTCCTGAGTAAAGATTATGTTGAAACAAAACTCTGCTTCTGAGTGATGGTGGTGGGGGAGCGGAGCAAGATGACTTTCTAGGACAAGCTCCAGTCTCTCTTGCAATGGATTCCCTTGCGGTCAAAGAAGCCAGGAAATCCTAGCATCAGCATCACCTTGCCCTGCGGCAGCCTGGCAAGCCACACAGACCTCCCTGGGGTTCTTGCTGTGTCCAGGATCTCACCCAGGTTTGGCTTCTCCCCTTTCCCTGCCCTCCTCTCCCTCACCCTCACTGTTGTCTCCTTCCCTGACAAATCAGCTGCCACAAATCCCTATCTCAGAGCTTTCTTCTAGGATAGACTAACCCGGGACAAACCTTGAGCTGATTCCGGGTGTAAGACAGCCCCAGATTGCTCATAAACTTGATTCCTCAGGTACAGACTGCTAGCTGGTAGGCTGCTGTGCTGACTTCCAATAGAATGTCCAGGTGATTTTAAAATATTGCTACTACTCAAATAAATAAGTTCTGTGCTGTGCTGTGCCAAGTCGCTTTAGTCACGTCTGACTCTGCGACTCTATGGACTGTAGCCCACCAGGCTCCTCTGGCCATGAGATTCTCCGGGCAAGAGTACTAGAGTGGGTTGCCACGCCCGCCTCCAGGGCATCCTCCCAACCCAGGGATTGTACCTGGGTCTCCTGAATTGCAGGTGGATTCTTTACTGCTGAGCCACCAGGGAAGCCCAAATAAGTTAATGATACATGAAAAAATTAAGAAAGGAAAACATCGCAATTGACTTCTAAAATGCTAGGTCACCTGGGATCTGTGCATGGTCACAGATTTGTTATCCCCTCATAGACCCAGGTTCTGTGTACAAGCACAGTCTACGGGTTCATTTTTGAGCTCTCCTGCGTGATCAAGGTTCAGGCAAAGCCATAGGTGCATGAGGCCAATACAGTCTCTCCAGAATCTAGGAGCCTGCTGAGCACCTCTCTGAAACCCAGGGTGTTAGGCCAGTCCGCCTTGGACAAGTTGAGAAGACAGCGACTAACCTTGTTAGCGAGCCCTCCGGCTCCACACTTGACCACAGTCTCGGCCTGTAGGACAGGTTTTCGGGGCCTCTGGTTTCCAGCTGGGTTTGGGAGCACTGGAGGGGAGGGGGGACCAGAGCTTGCTTCCTCCCCAGTGGGCTGAGTTCCTCTGTGGAAAACCCACAGCCCCTTCCTGAGGCTGCTTCCCCAGCAGCGCACACAGTGGTCACCTGGAGGGTGTTCCCACGGCCGGCATGGCTCCCCTTGACTCTCCCCTCGTGAACAGTCCGTCTGTGAAGCTCTCCTCAGGGACTCTCCGGGCGTGCCTCTGCCCCAGGCCCCTGAGCGGTTTGGAAGGAGACAGCTGTGTCACTGGCGGCTGCAGGAAGAGCAGATAAGGACTCTCTCCTCCAGACAGCATTCTGGTCCTGCTCGGGCGGTGTCTCCTGTCCCGCTCTCCACCCACCAGGATGTCTCCCTCTGTCTCAGTCCGTGTCCAGGCGCCCCCTTCCCTGGGGCTCCTCGGGAGCCCTCTGCTCAGGGCTTGTCGGGCCTTCCGCCTGCCGCTCAGGGCGCCGCCCAGCCAGGCTGGCTGCTGACCAGGGGGACATCCCGGGACTTTGGAGCCGCGTGAGGGCAGGAGCCACACGCACCCTGGCCCTCCTGCGCTCCCGCTGCCCGGCCGGAGGGCTTGGCGCAGCCTGGGGCTTGGCTGTGGTGGCTGATGCCGCCTTCATCCACGTCATGCACCCTGGGCCTGTGGACTCGTGGTTTTCTTCGCAGTCGGCGTCCCCGTCCTGGGAGGGCTCCGCTGCCCTCCCAGCGCCCCCAGCAGCCCTGCGGGACGGTGCCCGCACACGCCGCTGCTCGGCTCCGCTCTCCATTCCACCGCCTCCGCACGGCTCCTGTTCTCTCTGCGCCGTGCATCTCGCCACGTTCTCTTCTGCAAAGCGCTCCTGACAAGAGGCCCAGGTGTTCCGCGCTGAAGGTTGGGGGTGTCAGAAAGGAGTGCCGGCGTCTCACAGAATGGGCGCCGCGGGGCTCCGTTCGTTCGCTGCGACCGCCGCTCCGCACGCTGCGTCTCTGCGGCTGCCTTCCTTGCCAGCCCAGGCCCCGCTCTGCCGTTTGACTAGAGCCCCCTTCATCTCCTCAGCCTGGTCTCGTCTTGTCTCCCCATCCCAAGGCCGTTTCAAACAAAGGAGACAAAAATCCCACTCCTAACAGAGCTCCGTTCTCTTTCTCCACCCCACTGTGCCCAGGGGCCTACATTTTCACACAGGCAGGAAGATCCTCTGAAGTATTGCTCTAAACTAAAAGCCATCTGCTCCTAAGAGGAACTTGACCTATTTCTTAGACTATTGTAGCCGCTACAGTCACTTTTTGTTTTCAGCAAGGGCATTTTCTCTTCCTGTTATTCCATTAGAGCTCGGGCTGCTGAGCTGGGATCCTGTTGGTCACCTATCTGTTCTAAGTTTTCCTAGAAGTTGGTGCCACTGTGCAGTGGTTTTGCCTTTGTGCCTAGGCACCCCTGCCCTGGTGCGGTGCTTAGCGTGGCAGAGGGTACCCGTACTCCCACAGGCGACCCCTATGCCCTCTGCCACATTCTTTGGCCCAGCGGACATCAACACAGCTATAGTGGGCAGTGCCAGGCACAAGGCCAGGGTTCCAGCCCCAGGCTCCCTCCTCAGGCAGGCCTTCTGCAGTTTCTGCTTTTCTGACGTAGAGCTCTCACGGAAGCTACAGGGGCGATCAGCCCAAGCATAGGCAAAGGCTGCAAAGGTGGGAGGGTTGACATACTCAGGGACAACCCTCTTCCAACAGCGGACAGGTTAGAGGATAAATGCCCCAACCTCCCATCCTCCAAAGGAGTACTTCTGAAGTCCATTCCAGCAAATTCTTCAGACGGTCCCAGCAGGACTGGTCCCCCAATGCCTGCAGTGAACAGCTCCTTTATTGGTTCTCCTTCTGCTCCCTCACTTCTGTTCCCTGGGATCACCTCCCAAATCAACTATCAGCACCTAAGTTTTTGTCTTTGATCTGCTTTGAGGGGGACCCACGTGAGGACAGGTTTGAAGGCTGTCTGTTCTGTGGTCTTCAGTAATCACCTGCGGTGCCGAGTTGGGATCCAGGGCTCCCCACTGGTTCAGAGCCCTTCTGCACAGCTTTGCTAACAATCCCCTGACTTTCTGCAGGGACAAGTGGCTTATGTGATGGATCTGCCCATATAACTCCTCTCTCATCCAGAGTGTGATATTAGACATCTCAACTCTGGAAGCTTGATTCATCTGGGGAGAGTCTTTGGCCATCTGAAAAGCCATAAAGCTCTCCTGGTGTGACAAGGAGCAAATGACTTCAGTGTCATATTACTGCCCTCAAATCCAATAGAACCAGGGTCTGATGTGTCTCATCTTTTCAAGCAAAGGTGTTAACAGATGCATTACTCATCGGCATTGCCCAATTCTTGCCTTGTTAGGAACTGCAGAGGAAAGTCGATGTTTTGACGAGGAAACTATGACCAAGAGCCAGAATGACTATAAAACTCTGCCAATGGGCGCCAGAAGATTCCACACCATTGCCTTTGACGCCTAATTTCGCTTTGGATGCATTGCCTGTCTCGGCCAGGGGCCTGCTGGGCTTTTATATTCTACTGGAGAAGAAGCTCTGTGTCTGCACATCCTGACTGCTTTAAAACAGTGACACTTCTCTTTGCTCAGTCTCCAGAAATCCCCACAGCAATCAGATTCCGGGCCGGAGCCCTCACATCTGGGTGGTTTCTTCTGCTTTTCCTTTGTTTCATCCCCAGCATCCTAGAGCAACCACGGCTGGGTGTTCTCAATCTGGGCACCACATTGAACCAGAACATTGCGGTTGTTTAGGAAATACTCTCTGTGGAACCAGACACTGCATAATTTTTACACTCTGTCCTGTGAGGTGGATCTTGCTGGACCCAATGTATCAGTGAGGAGAATGAGGCCCGGGAAGCATGAGTGGTTTGCTTCCCTATGGGAGGAGTCATGTAGGCAAGGAAAGAAAGGTGTGGGCTTCATCTCCTGTGGGTTTTGTGCTCAGATCAGCCTTCCCTCTTCCATGAGGATGAGATTGGGGCTCAGAGGAGAGACACACGCTGGGACCACAGAGGACCTCTCTTCTTCACTCCATGATAGCCTTTCAAAAGCAAACCCTGGACTGGGAGACAGGTACAACCCCATGTTTTCTTATCAAGAAGGGTCAACCATATATGTCTGATCACAAGAGCATTTTACAGATTGTCCAAAATTAAAGCAATCCCAGCTCTCTGTCAGCACCTGCAAGCCTGCAGAGGGTGGGCTCCCGCCCTGTAACGTATCCTCTTGCTCAGCACCCTCTGGCCAAGTTGGTCTCAGTCTGATTGTCCTACCTACCAAGTTAGCGTGTGTGTGTGTGTGTGGGGGGGGGAACAGGGCTTGGCATGAGCCCCTACCTTCCCTGCCTCGCGTGACTAGCTCTTTCTCAGCCTTCTGTTCTCCCCTCTCTGGCACCCCCTCCAAGTGGCTCCCCCGTCCACTGTTCCCATCCGAAAGCCCTTTGCACTCCGGTTTCTCTACAACATGAGCACGCTGTCTCCTCCCAGCACTGCCACGGTCTGAAATTGTCTTGCTCGTTGTCACTGTTTGCCTGTCTTCACCGCAGTGCAAACTGTTGGCCCTACAACAGTGCCCTATCCCTAGTAGTTGTTCTTACCATGGAGTAGAGTGTGTGTTACATGAATGAATTCCTAATAAGAAATAGGATTGTCGCTTCTAGAAACTCTGTCTGGAGTTCATTGTATGTTGACAATGACTTCAAATCCTCACGTATTTATTAAACTCTAACCTGTCTCCTCCCTCTTCTCAACTCCCTGCACCCCTGAGGTCTTTCTTTCCTTCTTCCCAGCCCCATTCTCTCTTCCTTCCCAGGTCTGGACTGGAGGCTCAGAAAATATATTTGCAAGAAAGGCCCAGGTGGGTGGGCCTGATCAGTCTAAGAGTAATGAAAAGGAGTGTGTCTGTGTGTGTGTACATGCCCGCACATGTGTATGCACAGGTGTGTGTCTGAGGTAGAGGTGGGGTGGGTGTCTAAAGTGAGGGTTTGCCCAGAATTCCAGAGTTTTGACTCCAAGTCTCCTAGCTACTTTAGAATTATTGAAATCTCAGGCTCCTTTTCCCAATCACTTATTCCATACCGACTTGGGTACGGTGTGTCTTTTAGGGGGTTGTTTGACAGTGCCGCTCATCCACATTGTACATGTTCATAACAAAAAGACAAGTAAGTCCTCATCTACCACTCTGTAACTCAGAAATACACAAGTTATACAACATCTGGAATCCACCCAAGGGGGAAAAAAATCTCGGCCTACAAATCTAGAATGCTGGAGGCAGAAACCATGTGCTCAGAATCATTAAAATCACATTTCACTTTGCTACAGTGCAGCTCTGTTCCCCTCTGGATGGCCAGAGTTGACTGGGAGATCCATTTTTGTGGTGCTGAGCCAAGGGGCCACACACCTCTTGGTTAGTATCTGTCCAGGTTTAATACCTAATTACCGTCCTCAGATTGCCTCTCAACACTCATTACCAGCACTCAGCAGTTCCTGCCAAGGTGATGGAATTTTAGATTAGGACAAGAGTTGTCGTTTTTGTTTTCAAGTGCTGGCCTCCTTGGAACATTGTCATTCAAGCAGGAGGCACAATTTCACTTTCTGCTGAAGGCTCCTGAAGAATCAGAGAATTAAGCATTTATAAATAAATCAAACTCTTCTTATGTGAGCAGAGGTCCTCAACCAGTGGTCTCTGTTTCATGCCTCTGATGAGTTTAGCTGTTTTTCTCCAACACTCAGGCCCAAAGCTGCCCTGACAAATGCACTCTAAGCTATAGGAATGCTGGATCCCAGAAGTGACAATTGGATGTAAGAGGCATTCCAGGCCTGTCCTGGGACAACTTGAGTGGACTCTGCCAACTCTGATCCCATCCAGGATGGAGTGAAAAGACATTTCTTCCTCATGAAGATGGCCACTGTGGGTAAACCAGGTTGGACTCTCTCCCCTGTCTGCCTGCCGAGTGACCTGCTTCCCAGGCAGGCAAGCAGAAAGCGAAGGATAGGGTAGAGGGGAAAGGGAAAGGGAGTAAGAACTGTCATAACACTGGCATCTGTATCATCTCTAAGTGAGGTTGCCAAATAAAATTCAAGATACCCAGTGAAATTTGAATTTCAGGTAAACAACAGATATTATTTTAGTATAAGTATGTCTCATGTAAAGTTTAGGGCATACTTTACCAAAAAAAATTTTTTTTCATTTTAGAGAGCTATTTTATTTTTTTACACCTTTATTTTTTAATTTTAATTTTTTTTGACACCAAAAACATTTTGTATTGGGGTATAGCTGATTAACAGACTTAGAAAATGAACTCATGGTTGCTGGGGAGAAGGGATAGTTAAGGACTTTGGGAACGTCATGTACATACTGATATATTTAAAATGGATAGCCAATGAAAACCTGTTGTATAGCACATGGAAGTCTGCTCAATGTTATGTGCCAGCATGGATGGGAAAGAAGTTTGGAGGAGAATGGATCCATGCATATGTAAGACTGAGTCCCTTCACTGTTCACCTGAGACTATTACAACATTGTTAATTGGAAATTCAGTATTTTATTTGTATCTTTATTTGCTTAATCTGACAGTCTTAGCCCTGTGAGCCAGTAAACTGAGGGAATACTGCAGACCATAAGCCCACTCAGGAATTCACAATGCCCATTGTTGTTTAATGCTTCTAAGAAGTCCTGCAGAAAATAAATGTATTTACATTAAAAAGTTAATTTTGTTGATCTGAAATCAAGTTTCACAGGGCAGCCTACATTTTATCTAAGAACACAGAACCCCTTTTTACACAGAACCCCTTTTTAAACACAGAACCCCTTTTCTGAGGAATACTTCAAAGGGTG